TGTAACATCAATCAATCTAATATTTAAGGAGACAACGTCCCACTGGAAGAAAAATATCTAATCGCTTTCTTTATTTTAGTTTATCCTATTTGCCACTGATCGGCTCATTAGCCGCTTGGGCGATCGGTCAAGTCTATTATGTCACACACTGTTGGCAAGTACAGTACTGGCTCCAGCCTCCAGAATGTGTCTGTACCTGTACCTGCGCTAGTGTTGGTCAAATCCGGTCTTGAATGACCTCACACTAGGTGCAGTCACAACGCTCTCTGGCACATTAGTTTGTCCTGTCCTCACCTTATAACTGGGGCAACTGTGACTACTCACTTTGTAATTGGGGCACCAGGCGACAGAGGGTGTGTGTTTATTGTCCCAAACCAAGTGAGTCGGGGCGGGTTCGAACAGGGAGTGAGCCACACAGGCCTCCTTAACCTGCCGCGCTCGCTCCACCATCACGCCAAGCCGGGACTCCAAGTACTCACGATCCTGAAAGGAAGAGTGGGTGGGGAGAGGGTTAGCATCTCTGGACGTGGTGATGAGGTGAAGGAGTGTAGGAGGGAGCGTGGGAGGGAAGAAGGGAGCATGGGACGGAAGGATGCAGTGTAGAAGGGAAGGGAAGGAGAGAGTGTCGGAGGGATGGAGGGAATATAATGAACACTTTGGTTAATATTCCTCAGGTCTTCCCTCCTAAGAACTTGTTAATAACACAAAATTCAGGTTAACTTTCTGATGACAATTATATACTTTTTCCATGGGTATTTTTGTGATTACATTGATGGCTTAACTCATTCTCAAGAGTTTACCAAATAACTATGGATCTATACCATCAACGGCACCGAACCACCAAGAACGCTGAGATCAGATTGTTTTCCTGACGGGTGTGTGTGTAGGGGGTGTGAGTGTGTGTGTAGGGGGTGTGAGTGTGTGTGTAGGAGGTGTGAGTGTGTGTGTGTAGGGGATGTGAGCGTGTGTATGTAGTGGGTGTAAGTGTGAGTAGGGGGTATGACGATGTGTGAGAGCGTAGGAGATGTGAGAGTGCTAGGATGTGTAAGGGGGGAGGGTGTTCTTACTTCAGGTTGGTACTGGGTGAGGTCCAACTCTAGCAGACTCGCCGCCTCAGTCAACTCCATCACCACTGGCCACTGAACAGAACCTGAACTTTTCGACTTAACGCTTGGCTGCTTGTAGATCACTTTGTTATTGATCACCACAAAATCCTGTTTGTGTTTCTGGTGGTCACTTCCGTTTGGTGGTCTGGCGGAAGAGGAAGGAGGTGAACCGTTCTCCTGGGGTGTCTTGGCTGCTATCATGGCTCTCACCTCGCTGGCTGACATGACCACCGTGATAGGCTCACTCGCCGGGCTGGTGTGTGTGGCCAGGTTGGTGAAGTAAAGGAGGGCAGCCACCAGCAGGAGAGTAACGGCCGCCCGAGTACTCCTCCTCTCTGTAACACATCTCATCGTGTTTCTCTGCACTACACCGCTCACACACTCGCTCCTGTTGGATGTAAAAGTGACACTTAAAGAGATTAGGTTAGGCTATGCGAGGTTAGGTTGTGCTATGTTATATTAAGTTCAGTTAGAGTTGTGTTAAAGCGTTGTTTATTCTCAAGTGAATAAGTTGTGGATGCTAAACCTCATGATATGGAGTTAACACTGACACTCATTTGCTAATCTGTTATTGACTTACGAGGTAGTAGGCAGCTATTAAACAGAGAGGAACTGGGAAGATATTGGAAGCATAATGTGTTGTCTAATGGTAGACCCTGCTGCCATATGTGACCAAATCCCAGGTTGCTGATCTGACTTTCTGCTTTATTTACACGCAATTGCAGGGTATTGTTTCTCACTAATGATCTTTATTATTATTATTATACAAATTTAATGTAATTTTTAATGTTTTATTTTTTATATAAAATTTATTATGATTTTTTAAATATTATTATTATTATTATTATTATTATTATTATTATTATTATTATTATTATTATTATTATTATATTTTCGCCCCCCAGGCCCCGATGTGGGTCAGTGATCTGTGCCCGGGTGAGCTAACCCCTGGAAAAAAATAAAAACCACGGAGACTCCAGATGTTGTTGTGGGTAACCATGCCAACTCAGCAGTGACAATATACCAAGTGCTTGGGAGTGATAACGATACCGTTTTAAAGACCTTGGTTGTTGAAGCAGTGATAACTTTTGTCAAAGGTGGAATATTCCAATCATGAGGAATCACTTTCCATTACAAATGCAGTATTCCCCTTTTATTATAGTTTAGTAGGCTATATTTACGCCAAAGTTTAAGTTTTTCAAGGCGTTGATCCCATTATTTTATCGGAAATTCTGAGTAATAACGAGAGATTGCTGTTATCTCTGTTATCTCGTTTTTACATTCGTATAAAAAAAAATTACCAGCAACTTCGAGTATAGTGGTCCAAGTAAACTTACCTGGCTGGTGTCGAGAGGCTGTATCAAACACGGTCATCGTCACCGCCCGCCGCCCCAACTGTTTACCGTTATATTTGGGTTGACGTTATATCCCACACTACATCAGGTATGCGCCATTAATTTTGTTTCACTTAAGCTTGACTAATAATAGTCTTCTCTGTTATTTCTACTGCAATGAAGAACTGTACTAATAATATTCTAGATTTTTTTGCATTTCAACACCTTGCAGGTTAACTGGTGTTTAGTCAAATGTTTACATCACAGTCGCCTCTTTCACGTCACCCATTTACTTTTTAATTTCATAATTTTTATCATAAAACTTTCAGAATACTTAGTGTCGCCAATTTTTGCCGTTTAAATCAAGACGTACCTGGCGCTCCTCTCGGAGCAGCCAGGTCAACTGTTAAGTTGGCCCATACCAACTCCCTCCCCTGAACCCTCCTCCCCACCGGAATATCAACAAGTTCACGCCAGAAGTTACTATTTCATTTAGGAAAGGAATGGAACCAGTGTTAAACAGAGGTGAACAGTGGTGAACAGTGCTTAAGTCAGTGAGAACAACTCAACAGTAACAGTCGCACCCAAGTTAACCTTCACACAGTGAGGTCCCAGGTACCCAGTGATAACGGCCCGTGATAACCAGCGATGTGTTAATCCGTCTACGATAGGAAGGCCTGGGACCACACCTCACTCATATAACACCGTCTGTGAGGGAATTACTACACCACGTGAGGCCCCGCATAACACCATCTGTGAGGGAATTACTACACCACGTGAGGCCCCTCATAACACCATCTGTGAGGGAATTACTACACCACGAGGCCCCGCATAACACCATCTGTGAGGGAATTACTACACCACGTGAGGCCCCTCATAACACCATCTGTGAGGGAATTACTACACCACGTGAGGCCCCTCATAACACCATCTGTGAGGGAATTACTACACCACGTGAGGCCCCTCATAACACCATCTGTGAGGGAATTACTACACCACGTGAGGCCCCGCATAACACCATCTGTGAGGGAATTACTACACCACGTGAGGCCCCTCATAACACCATCTGTGAGGGAATTACTACACCACGTGAGGCCCTCATAACACCATCTGTGAGGGGGAATAACTATCACCACGTGAGGCCCCTCATAACACCATCTGTGAGGGAATTACTACACCACGTGAGGCCCCGCATAACACCATCTGTGAGGGAATTACTACACCACGTGAGGCCCCTCATAACACCATCTGTGAGGGAATTACTACACCACGTGAGGCCCCTCATAACACCATCTGTGAGGGAATTACTACACCACGTGAGGCCCCGCATAACACCATCTGTGAGGGAATTACTACACCACGTGAGGCCCCTCATAACACCATCTGTGAGGGAATTACTACACCACGTGAGGCCCCTCATAACACCATCTGTGAGGGAACTACTACACCACGTGAGGTCCCTCCTAACACCATCTGGGAGGGAGTTACTACACTACGAGTTTGCTGTTCAACACCTACAATAATCTGAATGTTCACTGTATGTTCCTTTACCTTTCTCTAATGAAGGCTTTTGTTAAACCACCAATGTATGTAATAAGTCATTTATGTCCAATGTATATTTTCAGCCTTCGGGCTGCAGAACTTTTTCAATAAACCGTTAATTATTATTATTATTATTATTATTATTATTATTATTATTATTATAAACGAGCCTATTTCATATACTGAAACACTTCAATTATCAGAAAAATATAACCACTGTGTACTACTAACTTTCAATTTGTTCACAGCCCAACTGAAGACACTCCTTTCCACTGGAACTTAGCAAGACTGGTGGCTAACGGCCCAAGATGTAAGCCGGCCAAAGGGTCATCCAGCACAACCTACTTTTCAAGCTCCTCCCACGGTCGTGAACCACAAGCTCCTCCCACTGCCGGCCAACATGTTCTATCAACTTTGATCATATCCCCCTTTTGCAATTTATTTTTTTTAAGTATTTCGGGGAATTAGAAAGAAACATTCAGCTAGCTTAATTTAGAAGTGAAACATGATTAAATTGCAGAAAATAGGTTGCCATTGTGATGTCACAGGCGGGACCCGCTGTCGCCTGTCGGTGTAACCTATTATCATTTGTCTTACTGGATTTTGTTTCTTTTGGTATATGCCGGAAGAAACCTTGCAACCGACCGACCAAGCGGCTAACGAGCCGATCAGTGATGAAGAGGATAAAAGTAAAAAGTAATTGTGTAACTTCCAATAACTTTCATTAGATGGAGTTTGGTTAGTAGACCAAGGATTAGTTGATAAATGTTGTATTTACTGTACTAGTGTTATTTTGCCTAGAATTTAGTTCAGAATTAGATTACGTTAGGTTAGATTAAGTTAATATAGGTTTCCGTTGCTTGTATTAACTCAAAATAACTTACATTATAATATTTTATGTTAGTTTAATAATAGTTATGCAAAAAGATGTAAAATTTATTTATTTTACATTGAATTTGTCAAGAGTTAGGTTACGTTAGGTATAGTGTGGGCTAAATATATAATATTGTTTATAATATATTTTTCCGAAACAGTTCATATAAGTTATAGTATTAAATATAGGTATACTATATTAAGCAAGCGACGGTATAGTTGGCAGAGCGCCACCTTATATGTAAGAGCACCAGAGTTGCCAACTTAGCGACTTTGTAGCTAGATCTAGAGCTTTTTGTTTTTTTCTAGCGACATTTTAGAGCGATTTGCGACTTGTCGCAAATCTAGAGATATCCTCAGAAATCTAGCGACTTTCTGGATACTTTTGGACTGTCCATGAAAACTCAGTTTTCCTAATTTCGAGCCATAATATATAGCAACGGGGTTACAGGGACAATAAATAATAAGAAAAGTTTAATACATTTGAACGGGTCGTGGTACAGAAGGAGGGACACGTCTATATCATGATCACTTGATGTCAGCCCGTCCATGCATCTAACACCCTAAAATTGTGGTCAGAAGTGGCAAATTACAGAGATGCGACCGGTGAAAACCCTTACCATGATCTGGCTGAAATTGCACTCGCTGCCTTATCTCTTCCGCATTCAAACGCAGATGTAGAGCGCACATTTAGTAATATGAACTTTGTGAAATCAAAATTGCGCAACAAAATGAAACTATCGACATTAAAGGCAATTCTTACAATAAAGTATGGGTTAAAAAGACAGAACACCTGTTGTGCAAGTTATGAACTTCCTAGTGATATTTTAAGAAAGATAGGGACTGTGGAGGCATACAGTTACAAGAGAACCTGAACCAAGCACTTCACATGCTTCCAGCTCTACATTTGTTCACACTGCCGACGACTACGGAGAGGACTGGGATGCAATTACTATTGAATAATAGGTAAGTGTGCACATTAAACTGTAAAAAAAATAATATTTTTATTTTTACATAATGCATTTTATTTATACTCCGTCCATTATAGTCGGCATTATGAAAATATTATTTGCATCAAATTACTGAAGGGGGGGAATAATAGCTAGCGACTTTCCATGGAAGATTTAGCAACATTTAGCGACTTTTAGGTACCAGCCTAGCGACATTTGAAAATTCGAGTTGGCAACCCTGAAGAGCATCCGAGAGGTCCAGTAGGGTACATCAGAGATTATTGGTGGACCTTGGTACCGGTAGTGGTGGACCGGTGTTGGTAGTCTGCTGAAGGACGTCGTACTTACAGGAAGCACTAACATGGCTCAGCTGTGCAGAACCTCTCACCTGTGTCGCCAATTGCTGTCCCGTTCTACTCTAGCAAGACCAACTGGAGCCAGAACTGTGGGCACGACAGACAAGTAAGAAATTAGACTCGAGCTGTATAGTGCCTGAGAATAATTAGTGAAAGTAATTCAGTATGTTGACGTGATGGCCTAGTTTTGCAAGGATTGGTCTCATGTAAAATGTTTTAATCACCCAAGATGACATGGAAGTGAACTCTCCAAGAGACAAGTTTCCTGTAATAAAAAGTATGTAACAGCCTGATGTGTTCCCTTGTAGTTAGTGATGATGGCAACTATAGATGGATATTTATTGGGTAAGATTGCCATACAAGTACACATTGGTTCAGTTAGTACGTAGATAAGGTATAAAATATAATAAAAAAAATCTTTAATCCGATTTAATGTAGGATAGTCTGGGAACGGTCATACGTGCGTACAGTAAGGAAATTATCCCTCATAGATATATTTTAGTAATTTTCTCAATTATTGTTCACTGTAGGGTAGATTTCTTTCCACCTTTACTTACTATTGCTACTTGTCCGCTTACTATTGCTACTTGTCCACTTACTCTTGCTACTTGTCCACTTACTATTGCTACTTGTCCACCGTTCATTTTGATTGGTCATTGTTACTAAAGCTGATCCAGATTAATGAATTCGGTAAAGGTGGAGGAGACTGTTACACCAGAAATAACTTAAGGAATGGAACCCAGATTTCAGGAGTTACTATTTGCATGATACTGAATACGAAAATGAAAGTGAGGATACACAGACCCTACTAAAACCTGACTTAACCTAACTTTACCTAACCTACCTAACCTTTGTATTGTCGTTTCAATTTTCTTACTGGCTATCATCGAAACAACATCTCTAAAAAAATGAACACCATTCAATCCAATGTAAAAAAATGTAATACACACGCCTGACGAGATTGTCTTTGTCTTTTACATGTAAACAAAGACTGCGGACACTCCCATATAGCAGACGGTGTGAACTAAAATAGGATTGCCACTGGAGATCTGATGGCGCTATAATTACAGTAAATGCAGTAATTTATTGCTTCACCTAGATAGAACATGACGTGAAATTACTACCTTATGATCATTGTTCACAGTGTTTTTACCCCTTTATTTCCCCCTTCTTTCATGCCCTGCCCGCTAACAAGTAATTTGTGATTGAAGGATAGGCTAAACAGAAAAAAATATCCCCGGTACTACAATGTTTTCACTTGTATTTTAATATTTTATTACTGTACTCGCCTGAAAATGTAAACAAACTTCACCACATGTACCAACTCTGTGTTTCTGTAACCTGAGAGTACAGAATTTGGTGTAATTTTATTATACCAAAATTCTTGGGATTCATTCACTTTTTAGCATATGGCTGTTAGTGCAGAAATAACTAACTCATATGTAGATTATGCTTGAAATGGTTAGTAAAATTACAAAATGAAGACACGCACACACATCGCACACACACACACACAGTATATTTTCACTTATGTACACCCAGATTATGAAATACTCTTACTATATTGTAATTTAATTTGATCTTAGGCGTGATGGAGGGCCGTCAACAGGGCATCAGGAAGAAGAGGCCATCCCATATCGACCTACAACTACCCAGGCACCCAAGATGACAGATATTGGGACCAGAACTATTTTTAATGAAGACCATGACATAATGAGAACTTCTGTTCGGAAGTTCTTCAACGAGGAGGTGTTGCCATACCATGCACAGTGAGTAAAGTGAATCATCGTCATCAACATTTATGGCTATTTTCCATAATTGTTTGTGTTAGCCATGATTATCTGATGGTAGCTCCCCATTCTGTACGGTCTTTCACAGTCTCTCTTGTCAGGTAACTAATCTTCAGGTACTAAATGTGTTTTGAAAAATGGCAATGTTACCAGCCATTTTTGTTAAGATGAGAAAAATGAAAAATCTGTTGATACAGGTGAAAACTGTTCTGTCCAGTACTTGTGACAGTGTAGGATCACTTTTATGTAAGTTAGAGTTAGACGATATTTCTTTATTTTTAGCTCGGTTCAAATATCTGGCATTGAGGAAGTGACCAAGCCAACCTCTCGCTGAATTGATTATTAATGTTAAGCTTCTTGAACTTGGTAGATTTAATGGTTATTTAATATCATCACGCTGAACACTTTCCCTTATGGTTTCCTGTAGGTCTGTAGGTTTATCTTTCAGAACTATTCAAGCATTTACATAACGCCAGAAGAATCTTGTTTTTGTATTTACCTTAGCGAGAAAGATTTAGGATGATAATGCAGAATTAGAAGAGTAGGTAGGTGTGATAAATGTGGTCTCATAATAGTATAGATAAGCCTAAGTACATGTATACTGTACTACGAGTGAAGAATTTTCATTTCTCTCATGAATTATGGTATGTTTTGTTTCATGTCTCAAGTTGTAATAAAGTTTATGCCTTCAATATCAAATTTATTTAGGTATTTGGTGAGAAAATTGTAAGGAGCTGTCAGGCTGTCAATCAATAATCACCTGGTTACAATTACCCACATAAAATTATCTTCAAAATGTGAGGGAGCCCCTGAAAAAGTTCCCCATGGAGATGAATATTAGGTTCCTATTTTGACATGACGATTAGCACCCCCAGTTATTTCATCTGATTGTTAAAAACTATTTTTTTTTATGGGGATTAGCTCACCCGAGCACAGGTAACTGGCCCACATCAGGTTCTGGGGGGGGGGGGGTATTATAATAATAATAATAATAGTACTGTAATAATAATAATAAATACAAATTACAGTGAAAATTAAATAATTATAATAAAAATAATAATAACCATAAATAAATAAAAGAAATAAAACAAGAGTGAAAAACAATATACTGTACAGTATGTATGTTGAGTTGTCAATTGTAAGAGAAACAATTGAAACCCTGCAATTATGTGCAAATGAGGCAGAAAGTCAGATCAGCAACCTGGGACTTGGTCACAATTTTTTTGATGCCATATGGCAGCAGGATTTACCATTAGACAACACAATATGCTTCCAATATCTTCCCAGGCGGTAGTACCTCCCTGTTTGGTAGTTGCCTACTACCTACAAGGTAACTTAACTTACCCTGACCTTATCTAATCTAACCCCCACCCCCCCCACACCCAGGTAGTATTAGGGTGTTTTAATCTTCGGATAAAGTAAGCTAGGGTAACTAGCCATCAAACGACCCATAATGTGTGTGTGTTCCTTCTGTGTATGGAAGGTCTTCAGACTGTAGTATAATGATACAGAACACAAGAAGAGAATTACATAAATAAGTAAGAATAGAGAGTAGGGATGTAAAGATAGGAAACTTGGTAGCGTGGCCTGGATGTTATTTACTCAGCGTCAATACGCTTATCTTATCTCGTATGTCAATACACATGTATTATTTCTTAAAGGGACAACTTGTTAAACACCTCTTCGATACAACTATTTATTAATTCACTCAATGACATGGACACATTAATATCACTACTATATCGGGGTACTGACACATTATGCTTTATGTTACTTGACACCGACTCTCGGACACACCGGAATGAATACACTTCCCACAGTAGGTAACTCACCCTAGGACGTTCTGACAAGACTCACGTGTACCCTGACGTAGGCCCAGTGAGTGCTGGCTGGGCTGCCTCCTATGGGAGAGTCTGCTTAGCTGGCGATGCCGTGGTCTGGTCGGGAGGTCTCCCTCCCGACCTGGGGAGGGGACGTGCGTGACTCTGCTTAGTGAACCGAGTGACGACCCGAACGGGAGAGAGATGACAGCAACCAGAATGAGAATCAGTATGACCAGGATCAGAATGATAATCGTAATGCCCGTGGACGGGACTGTAGGGCCTTTATATGGGGTCGGCCCAGCCGGCTTCTGACCTCTAACAATTAACACTAAACTGGTTTGATCTGGATAGCTGTGTGCAGGTGTGGTCCTGCCCTGCCCAGGTGTCTTGGTTAGGTGCGGTTGTAGGTCACCCGGCTCACGTCATTAGCGGGCGAGGTCAAGTCCCTTGGGTCGACCTGAGGTGTGTCAACCCGGAATGTGGTGGTACCACGAGGTCTGTGGTGTACCTGCTGTTATATGCGGCATAATTCTGGGCTGTAAGGTTTGGTCTGACAATCAATCATTACAGTAGGCTATTCCAGGTCTTCCTTGTATCTTCTGTAAATCTGTGTTAATTTATCCCTCAGCCCCAGTTTAATTTTTACAGATGGGAAAAAGATGGCAACATATCCCGTGAATGCTGGCTGAAGGCAGGTGAACAAGGTCTTCTGGGAACAGATACACCGGCTGAAGCTGGTGGGATCGGCGGTGACTTCAAAGATGCTGCAATTATCATGGAAGAACAGTAAGTGTTTATGATAATGTGCCAAAAATACCTGTAGAAGAAATAAAAGACCTTTAATGTGATAATTATTGATGTAGGAGTTACCTACATGTAATAGTTTTGCAAGTGATTAAAGTTATATTGACTGGGATGATATATTAAAGCACAACTCTAGAGATGAACTATTTTTTTAGGCAACACACATGGATTTCAAGTGTTGACAAAAGTGTTTCTAGTCTTGAAATGTGGTGGACTTTTATTAACTTGTAAACATGGATTTCAAATGTGAGTTATTTATGACAGCTTATGTAAAAAAAAATATGTACATGTATACGTACTGTACAGTGTATATATATACAGGTATATAATTTTTTTTTTTCTTTCTCTCCTCATCTCATCTTTCTTCTCTGTCTGCTTCTATTTCTTTGTTTATAGAATTGCTGTACAGAGTATTGTTTATAGTTAAAAAATTTATTCCAGATCATATGTGAACTGCTCTGGGCCGGGCTTTGCTCTGCACTCTCAGATTGTTATGCCATATATTACACATTATGGTTCTCAGGAACAGATTGACAAGTACATCCCAGATATGACTGCAGGAATAAAGATTGGAGCTATTGCCATGACTGAGCCTGGTGCTGGCAGGTGAGAAATACTATTTTCTTATTTGAGGTGTAGAAGAATGTGGATCATTGACTTAAGTTTTGAATTTTATCACTTATGCTGGAAATTAGGGTATAAGGAAACAAAAAAAATGGTTATTGACACATACCTAGCTTATTGTTCTCTACCGGGTATGTGGTTTCAGTTGAAAAGTCAACACCAGTATTAAAGAACGAAATATGAAATTGATTCTACCTTTATCCAACACCCCACAAATACTCAAGTGACTTAATGATGGTTTATCTATTCCCAGTGACCTGCAAGGTGTGCGCACATCTGCTCAAAAAGATGGTGATGACTGGATCCTCAATGGTTCCAAAACCTTCATCACAAATGGATATATGAGTGATGTAGTTCTTGTTGTTGCTGTCACAAATCCCAAAGCCAAGACCAGGGCTCATGGCATTTCTCTCTTCCTGGTTGATGAAGGAATGCCAGGGTTTAGAAAAGGCCGCAAGTTGGAAAAGATGGGTCTGAAAGCTCAGGTAAGTTATTTTCTTTCAACCAAAGTGACTCCCCACTCAATATGACCACAAACCATGTGAGAAAGTTTGATAAGCCAGTTAGCATGTACAGTACAGCCATTTGTCCAAACACTTGGGTTAATCGATACAAAGGTGAAAATTTATCCCCAAATTTGAGCAGACTCCTACCAAGTTAAATGCCATGGAGAGGTGGGGATTAATAGGTATGACTTCTCAGGTTTACCAAACTGAGTAGGAATTAAAACAAACCTGAGCACTAGAACGATTTGTCCCGTTTAGAAATTTGAAACCTTGAAACCCTCTTCGTTGAGAGACTTAGTTTCCCCTTCGTGATGGACTTTGGGAGATGCCCTGTCAATGTGACGTATATTTAAGCTTGCCTACTACTGTACACTGGAATTTATGAGGTGACCCGGGGTATCTGTCAATTGGGCCCTCTATCACACATCATCGACAGGTTGAGATAAGAAAAGTGTGTCTGCTTGTGTTTTGGATATTTGAAAACCAATCAAGTTTTTATAAGATGCTTGTGAAGATGTTATATACCACTAGTTCAGGCACACAAGATGTAAATTGAAAATTGGCTTCTTAACAGGGACTTGAAACCAGGGTGGTTAATAGATTGCTTGCCTATTATCATAATTAATCTGCCACAACAACCAACATTTTTGACAGAGTTCAGAGGAAGCTTTTGGTGTCAGTGAGAATGATCCACCATTGAACTTGCATGAAAATGCCTTATTGCTCTTATTAATGTAAGTCAAGTAATTAAAGATGAAAATTTCTCATGATTAAATGGGAAAAATTAAATATGGTTCAACAGCAGCTTATTTCCCACTTCTTTTATTCTCATTTCTTCTTCCAGGACACAGCTGAACTCTTCTTTGAGGATGTACGTTTGCCAGCCTCTGCCTTGTTAGGAAAAGAAAACCATGGATTCTACTACCTTATGAATGAGTTGCCTCAGGTTAGAGACGAAGTTCAGAGTTGTTTTTATTGTCATGGTATATTCACAGCGTTAAAGAGGCTACTTGAGAATAAATCGTGGTTGTCAGAGAGGATATTACTTCTACTTTGAAAAATATATTCAGTACTGTGCTATATTTTCTCTGTTCACAAAGCTGTTGCATATAGATTACTTGTTTAATATTCGGTGTCCTGTTGAATGTCTAACTATTGGTAAACCGTGTGCACAAGTGAGATAACCCACGTTGTAATTACCCAGGAACGCCTCCTTATCGGCATCATGTCCTGTGCTAACTGTGAATGGCAACTGGAGGAGACCCGACAGTACCTGCGATCGAGGAAAGCATTTGGCAACACACTGTCAAACCTTCAGGTGGGTGGTGCTCTTCTCTCATCATACAGAAGTAAAGGCTTGGGTACTGATGAGTTTAGAATGATTTGTCACCAGATGATTCATTACCAGTTAAGTATGAACCTAACCCCATGGCTTCATCACTTCCAAAATAGATATAATTATGGTATCCAAATTTAGTGAATGTCCGCCAACCATTTAGTTTTAGAATCTGGTGTTGTGCTCTGGGAGTGTTAAGGGCACTCTGGGAAAGTGCATGGGAGTGACTTAAGAGACCTATACATGGGAGTGATTCAAGAGAAGTATACATGGGAGTGACTAGAGATGTGCGTGAAGTGGAAATGGCTACAGAATGAGAATATATGTATATCAATGAAAGGTGTGTACAGGACTGGGTTTTAGGTGATACAGGGCCATTTCCAACATTTGCATGAATTTGGTGAGAATATTTTAGGTAGGTACTTATAATATATGAGGGACCTGGAATAAATTCTTTCTGCACCTGTAACAAAAAGTTTTAAAATCTCAGGCATTTGTGTTACTGTACTGTGCATCAATACAGTTGAGACTTTTGGCATTCATGTAATTAATAACAAAAAATTACACTATTCAGATGCAACTTAACTAATATTAGTGCTTTTCAGACAATTCAACACAAACTGGCAGAGATGAAGACAGAAATATGTATCTCTCGTGCCTTCACCGATCAGTGTATTGACTTACACAACATGGGCAAGCTTGATGGTAGTATGGCATCAATGTGTAAATATTGGTAAGTATAAATTAATTTTAATTTAAACTGTGATAATAGGTCCCATATGACAGATTAATGAGGGTTCCATATGATTGATTAGGGGCAGTGCAAAGACATTACATAGAAGACTAGGCTGTGTTAATAAGGGAGTGGCATATAACATTCATTGTCCAGTGCCAGCACAAGAGATGACCGAGTACAGCACCTTGGGCCAGATGTTAAGGGAGAACAAGAGTAGCAGTTGATGTCTTAATCAAGTCAGGACCATAAATTATGCAAAAGGATTATTGCGGTCACTTTTCTTAGGTCAAGTTATGGGAAAACGGGTGGGTCATGTGAAATCTGATTACTAGGTCGGTGGAGTTAAATCAGGTACCTGGAGTCTCCTTGATCCCAGGCTTGACCAGATGATGTGTTTGCTAACTGTATCCATGCTCTTTAATCCTTAAACCCAGCTATGAAAACATTGGGATGATGATCTTTCTATGCACAATAAATAAGTTTTAAAATTTTTTAAAATATACTTTTGCAGTAAATATTCTTATGAAATCATAGACAAGCATGTAAAATAACAGAATACTGTATATGGGGAAAACTCTTTAGCTCATCTGGTGAATGCTCTTCTCTCTGTGTAATTCAATTACCTGTATAATAACACAATAATGGAGTTTTCTCACTTAACCTAAAGAGTGGTATGTAGTTAAGAGTAAATCACTTTTTGTTACAGGATGTCAGACATGCAGAACCGTATTGGTTCCCAGTGTGTGCAGCTCCATGGAGGTTGGGGATACATGTGGGAATACCCCATATGCAAGTCGTATGTTGATGCCAAGGTTCAGAGTATCTATGGTGGCTCTAATGAGATCATGAAAGAACTTATTGCTCGTCAAATTGTTGGTGACGAAAGGGTTTAACTGCTGACCAAGGCGTATAGTATGCTGAAATCTGAGCTGGCAGATAGGTGTGGGGTGATAAGGTTGCACAATATATCTGTAACTTTGGATGAATTTTAAATGTGAGTATTGGCAATCAAATTATTTTCTTGAAATACTAAGGCACAATTTTTAAAGTAAAGTTGAAGATAATCCTCCACTCATAACACTTCTAACAGTTATTCACTGTTACTGTTTAGAGTATCATTGCCACTTGTAAGGAAGTAACTATTATTTCCTTCTTGTAATGTAGTTGGTCATTGCAAGTATGTTTCTCCATCTTTCTTGGTAGTAACAACAGGAATTTCTCTTGGTCCTGTGTAGATATATAGTCTCTCCTCGACTTACGACGGGGTTCCGTCCTGACGACCAGGTTGTAAGTCAAATTGGTCGTAAGTTGAAAAGGCAAAAATATTACAAAGAAATTCTAAAATGGGTGTCTCTTTTTCTTCTCAGCACCACGAGAACTCACTTTTACGCTTGCCAACCATTTTAAAGGGAATTACAAACGAAAATTTTGTCAGTACACAGCGCGATCACTAATATCGGGACTCTAAAATACGTAATGTGAAAAATATTTTATACGACCATGGCTGTCGTATGTCCGGGTTGTCGCAAGTCGAATATGTCGTAAGTCGAGGAGAGACTGTATAGAATTGTATATACTAGAGAATTGTTTGTTAACTAAATACTGTACAGTAATTGTTTACCAGTAACAGGAAATGTAAAAGTCATCCTACGTCTTGTATTTTCGTTTTATCTTGACAGTACAGTACAGTATGACTCACCTTGTCGGAACATTTCTTGTGCAGATTGGACGACACTTTAATTGTACCTATATTTTGTAGAATCATATCGAGTAATGGTCGAATCGGAGGTTATTTTTGTAGTTAAAATCGAGACCTACATTTGAAAGATGTAGAGCATTATCTGCTAGACAAAATATCATGAACAACATTTGGCAAAAACAAAATCTTGACATCTTAAGACTGATTATGAATATATGAAGCTGTTTGTAACCAGAAGTAGAGCCTGTTCGGATTAGGAATCTCTTCTCTTTTTCCAAATGTTGAAATAGTACCTAAATATTTTCCAGAGTCCAGTACAGTAATGCAGAGTACATTATTATATATACATATACATTTATTTTAAGTGGGGTTAAAGTTTATGTAGTTCTTTGAATAATATAACTTTATTATTTATTAGTACTGTACAGAAGATTGTCAGAGAGAAAGCATTAGGGCTATGAACTATTTCAGCCTCTGCATTGTTTACCAGGCTGAGACCATCACTCAACAGGTGTCATTATTTTGTTTTGCCAATTGTCCATCTTGTCCATGTGCTGCGTCGTCACGTTTACCAAATGTTATATACCGCACACACACGTTTACATCCAAGTCATCGGGAACTAGCACACCTAATAACCCAATTACTTTACATCTGTTTAATTTTTCCAATATCCAGTTGTTGAAAGTTAAATGTGATATTTATACAATGAAAACAGTCATAGAGTATTCAAATTATTTTTTAACTTATTAGCCATATCAGCAATTTATTTGATTTTTAAGTTCTTTATTACAAGCATGTTTCAATTTTTAAAGATACAGTACTACATTTTTTCTGATTCTGAAATTTACCAAAGCAATTACTATCAGTTTTGACACCTCACTTTTCCATCCTTGTCCAAACATGTCAAGGAAAAATATTGCCCCATCAGCCAGTCATGTTCTCAGAAGATTTATGTGTGTATGTAAAGCATCACCTTGTGCAGGGATTGGTGTGTCAGTGTGGACTTAAAGGAATAAGTAATGACATAACAATGCAATTAGTTTTAAAAATAATATATCCCATAACACATTATTAGATATTAAAGAATGGTAACACACAGCAAATTAGTTTTCCTTTAAAGTCATTTTATAGTAATTTACAATGAAGTGGAGTTAAAGGTTGAGTTATTAAGTATAAATAAACCAGAACTCAGGTTAACTAATAGTCCAGGATCCTAAGCCAATCTTTAAAGTAATCTTTTTATTTTTAGAGTTTTATGTGATCTAAAAATAACACTGTATTAGAATCATTGCTTCATATATGGTACAATATTACTTTGGTCCTCAATTTACCCTGTTAATCAAATACAAGAAATATCTTTAATCTTAACAGTGTTAATGAAAAGTATTACATTAAGTTTTGAATGTTTCCTGTATGATTATTAATAACAAAGAATGTTAGGGAAAAAGATCAGAGATGTACAGCCTCGTTCAAGATTCTTCGAACACTAAACATTATGAATGGATGTTCAAGTGATTGGTTACTTAGTTCCCCGTTGCTTAATTAATGGTTGGACTCTGTTGTTTCGTATTATATTATACTACGTACTATAGTAAACAAATGGCCTTGAGTTGCCAGCTGTCTCCAGCAGTGTTCGAAAAATCTTGAACGAGACTGTACATGTAGTTGTAAATATTAAATATTGTATATACAGTACTCAAATAATTAAGTGCCTATAGGATAATTTCAGGGACAGGTGGTCTTAGTATTAGATATTTTTAGTGTAAATGATTGTGATTTTGCACCAATGGAACACTCGTGAACAATGTACACTACAATAAGTTGACAATATGGCATTTGGTTGGATTAGTGAAGTACAAGTTTGCTGAAGTTTGTTGAGAAGTGTGGAGGAATATTTGTACTTTACATTGTTGTGCATTTCATAGAACAACACAGTTAGAGTAATTATTACTATTTACTGCACTTGGCTAATAGCATATACAGAGTCATAGGAGATTGATTCAAATTCTTTCATACTAATACTTGTTTTCTTACATGTCTGACAAGTATAAGATGCATAATTTGGCTGAAAATTACCTCGTTATATAATGTACATCCACTAAAGGGTAAAGTTTGTCCCTCCTTGAAAATAAAATAATGAAGGCTTAAATATACAGAGTATACATCACTTGAAAGATAAAATACAACATTGTACTCATTGAAACAAGAGTCCACCCAAAGAAATTACTTGTAGATGTGCTGCACAACCTAAAATCCCAATGAAAGGAAAAAAAATAAGAACCTGTATCAAAAGAAACTACCGGGTAAGCCTTGTAAAGCTCCCACTCTGTCAAGACTAATGAGATGTCCCCCTTATTCAGTGCTTCATCTTGCCTGTTGCATTTCCTCTTGATTGGTGTCCTTGTAAATGAGTCCCTGGAAGTTTTGCCTCCCCAACTAGTTTTTAGATTAATTACGCAAGGAGCAGCCAGTCATGATATACTTGTACCAAAACTGCAATCAAACTGTCGAGTAAATTCCAGATTTCTTGTATGTAGACAATTTTTTTACAGTAGACGGAAGAAAAACATCGTCATGACTGTATCCCTCTAAAACTCTTGTGTGGGAAATAAATGTAAAATGTTAATCCATTAATTGTATGGAAAGTTAAATAAAATACCATAGTACTGTAATCATAAATTAAAGACAATGGCTGGAACTGAAATTATTGAGACTGATAGTACAGAATGCATAAATCCCCAAGAAAGTATACTCAACATATTACACTTTTATACTGAAATTTATAAGAATTCTTTGAGTCTTTTGAAGTGAAACTGGTTTTTTATTGACCTACCAAAATACTGTACATAAAATTATAAGCCATAACTTTGCAGGTGCTTTGTCATGTATTAAGCTCCAGTCCCAAGGAAGACCATATAATAATCGTCATCTTCGGCGCCAAACACAATCAGGCTGTTTCTTCCATATAAAATTTAATATAGAAACCAAATTTTTCATATTAAGGTGGACGACTTTACAGCTTTAATCTTTTATAATTTTGGTGGAATTAAAGTTACATATAGGAAACAATGTATGTATTTGTGTCATAGAGTATGTGGGATTTGGCAGGTTTTAAGATACATTTACCGTAAGTTAATATAGTATTAAGAGGGTTTGGATGACATACCAACAATGCATTAATTGTAAGAAGAGCTTAGTATTGTAATAAAGTTCAATGATGTTCTTCGTTAGTGAAAAAAGTGCTGATAAGGTTTTACAATAAGTAGACACTAAATTTTGTTCCGTTGTTTTATTGTACACTTTCCTCTTTTATTATGAAGGAGTAGTTGTGCTTAGTTGTGAGGATGTCTGGTCTTTGCCACTACTCTTCATGGTGTTCATACAGTACAGTACATTTAGATGGTAGTACAGTATTGTATTTTCTGTAACTTAAGTAAATAACACCATTGGGGATTTTTTTGTGTAGTGGGATTTTGGGGACTTGGATAATGTGAAAAAGATGTAGATTAATGGAGATTTTATTTTAAGTTTTGAAGATTCAGATTATTTTTTTTTTTTTTTTGTTCGTGGAATCTAATGATATATTATGAAGTAAATCTTACCCCCAGAAAGAATTTGCCCCCTTAGAAAAGATGCAACACAGCAGCTAAGATGATTCCTGAACTTTGTCATCTCGATTATCCAAATAGACCGAGGGCCTTGAGACTAACAACTCTTCAGACAGAAAGCGTCACTGTTCAAAAAAGTACATAATAATATAGATTAGTAATATAATGATAGTTTAGATGCTGTTATTGAAGAGTTGGTGATTAGATAGATGGAGAAAGTTGGTTGGGCAGACGTGAATAGAATGTTGCCCAAGAAAGTGATTTCATACAGGAGAATGTTGGCTAAAGGTTAAGGACAGCCATGAACCGGAAAGAGGTTTGTGGCCTGAACAGCAATTTGCTCATTGTCACGACGTCAGCCAGTGGTACTATTATTATTGTAACTGACCCTTACCTTTGACCTCATGACCCTCACCTTTGACCTCATTAAATAATCGCTTTTTGCACCAGATATGCAGGAAATCAAGAACAGGAACTAAAACCCCCAACCACTTTAAGGTGATAAAACGTAACTTCAGTAACAGTCATAGATTCAAGCTGGTCAGTCATCCTGCAAAAAATGACAGATTTCCCCAAGCAGTGGAAACTAGAACATCTGGAATAATATGGGAATCGTTAACAAGCCACAAGGACGCTGCTTTGTGTAGTGAGAGAGTGGACATCGCCCACCCAAACTCTTGGTGATGTCTTAGGAATTTATTAAGGTAGGTATAAGACGGTTAAGCCTACTGTAGAGTTGTGGGTGGCAGGAGTGCGGGTGGCGGAAAGAGGGTGACGTCGATACTATGGTAGGTCATTGGGTACTGTCGGCTCGCCAGGCTGGGGAGCGTGTCAGCATGGTGCCGGGGGTTGGCACTTTACTGTAAACCGGGAAAAGGTGAAGATAGTTAGATATAAATAACGAGAAGAGATCGAATAAGGTATGTATATTCCATAAATAATTCTGTTAATTGACATATTAGATTTCATTTCATAGTGGCGGGGGGCGAGGATGCCTCTGTTCCAAATGATTGTTAAACCTTAATCATACATAAATTCCTCGTTAAAGTATTCATTTTACGCCTATGTGCTGCTTTATTTACTCTAGCTGGAGTGAAACGACGCAGACTGCATCAAGAACACCTCGCCTAAATCAACCTCAATAAGGCTTTAGAGGGAGTTTAGACACTCTTGAGCTCGCATCGGTGGAGTCGATTGTATACCTTCACTGATCTTGATGAATACATATCTATCTGTCAATCAATCAATATCTCTCGGTTTAAGGTAGTTTCAGTGTCATGTCTACTAACGGGTGTTAAATGAACGTATCTAATTAAGTCACGTGAAACAGGTGTCTTGCAAGGTGGTTAGGATTATTTTGTTCTGGTAGTGACAGTGAAGCAAGACCCGCACACACCTTCAATAGATCTTTAAGCTATGACCGACAATTTATATTTTGTAGCTGTTCCATTAAAAATGGTTCAAGATTATCGGGATTTGAAAAGAAATCGTACGATAATACAGAAAAAACCTCAGAACCTCAAAGTATAGATAAACTAAATTAATCACACATTAGAATAGTTACGTATATAGATGTGTACAGAAAGTTATCAGACTTGCACTACTCCAGCAGGTAAAACAGTTGCACATATTTCTTTCATGTGTGTACTGTGTGAAAAGAGCTATCAGATAAGGTGGTGCGTTAGACTAGATAAGCAGGAATGGATGATGGAAGGGGAGGGGCAAGGTGTGACCCGGGCCGCGGAACCCTTGTTATGGGTGTCACCTCGCCTTACAGACTCATTCTGCTGTTGGGCAGGTGGCCTCGTGCCTGGCACTGTCCACCACACACAAATGCTAACGTAAAATTAATAAACGCATTATCACGTATGTTTGTCTACACATGCACGCTCTTGCACGCACGTTGTATGTACAGTGTAGTACATGATAATATATATGTTAGTGAATCCAGGCGACGCTCTCTCTCTCTCATATATATATATATACACAGTATATAACATTTTCTAGGGTGTTCTCAGGATAGCCGGATCAAGAAATTTAAATTTAATACAAAATCAAAATGTATTAGTATTTATACATTCATATTCTGTTTGAGCTAAATTAACACTGTAATAGAAAACAACGCCAAATTAGTAAGTTACGAGGAATCAAAGTTATAAATACGAACCCACATACACTAAGTTATGTCATGGTACCGATAAGATTCTCAATAGAACATCCGATGTATAATTACGTTTGTACTGTGCCCTTTTAGAATAGAAGAACCGAGTTTACTCAGGCCCTTTTCTGTCTCTATGAATTTACTTTCCAACAACTGTGAATTGACCATCATAACACAGTGTTATTCAGCTTACTGTAGTTGTAATATAAGGAATATAATACGTAATATACTATACGAATGACGAAATCGGCTTTATCCTCACGTGATAGCGCAGGGCTACTAACACTTCCGAAAATTACCGCACTGCAGAATGTCGTCACTTGAAGTGTATTAATAGTTACAAATTGTGTAATATATTACTTAGAAACTATTGCAATTATAATTCAACAAAGTCTATTATACAGAAGACAGTTCTTTACATCTGCTATGACGTAGAACTTTAAATATCAATATATTATGCGCATGTTCTGTTATTTAGGTGATTATCTTTGTATAGTATATTCTTGTATATCAAGGTGATAAAAGTCATTAGGGTTATTTTGAATTATGTGCACCATGTAGATACTGCGATAATGAACATTAAGATGTGAAACATCTACCTAAATTGGTAGACCTGTTGTCTGGGAAGCATCGTACCTCGCATGTTAATGGCGGCCTAGACTGTGGATATTGGATAACAAGCAAGTCTCGGGTAGGTTTAATATCTTATAACTCCATTTTACCTAATTGGGGAATCACAGACCAAATACGACTTTTTATCAAAGTTTTCTGGCGTATTTCAATACCGGTTTAGTTTATTGGACATAATCGTTATTCAAAACGCGCCAAATTTTGTATGGCAGAGCCAACTCATAGCTATTCTACTTGCATGACGCGCCATTCTTATGAGTATTCCAATGTGCACTATTACGCTTATTTATCTCAAATAGCACTGATAAGTTATGTAATTAGTTGAAAATATAATAGATATATGTAAAAAACTTTAAAATGATTTCAGATATCTTTACATAGCTATACATATTATTTATTTTTTCGCATGAGATGAGGGGTGAGTGAGGTGACAGGAAGAGCCATCCCGCCCAATCACACAATGCGGGCGAACAACTTGTGCGCAGTGACGTCACTCTCTGCGCATCATGGTCACTTGAGAGTCTATCGTGCGGCCGATATGTGCTCTCGGTATAAATTTCTTTACAGTCGTTCAGAAAAATATAATATGGTTACTAGTCGCATTATTTTGACGTGATAAACTGATAAAAGGTGCCATATATACATGACAACACGAGTTAAACCATTATAAAAAAAGATGTACTAGAGAAGATTCAGTAACTCCTCTGGTGTGTACTGTGAGGTTGTGTGAGAAACTACACTGCAGGAATTTTGAGTGAAATATACATAATTTCGGTGTGTTTTGGATTACAAGCTCGATCTACCAGGCATTTAAAGGTATGTAACATTTCGCTGCTTCAATAGATAGTGATAAAGGAGAGCGGAAAGTTGTAGTAGGATGGTAGTGAAGGTAATAAGAGCGGAGGTGGTGGGTTGAGAGGGTCGGCAGCTAGGTTGGCGGGCCATGGCGGCGGGTGTCACGTGGTGGACCGGCCCGGCCTGGCCTGGCCCGCCCGTCAGTGTGGCCCAGGACGCCGTCATGAGTGGTCAGATATGCTGCCACTTAACTTAATAATTTTGTGAATGAATGTTTAATATGTGTTTAACACCATTTACTCCAACTGCACTTGCTGGTGTGGAGGTGGAAAAACCAAGATAACATCGTATATGACGAATCTAATTACCAGTATACACAATCATGCACCATGTTGGTCGCGTCATGGGTGCCAGGATTCATCTTGCAATCGGGTTGTGTTACTTTAATACCTACAAATATGCTGAAGAAACCCAAGCAGTTAATTCTTAACCCAGAATTTGGTGTATACAGCTGTGATGGAGCAAAGGAGGTGATTATTACATATATTTTGTCTGGTAGTGTAGGCTTACAAAAAATGAACACCAAGTGATAAGAAATGTCTAATTTTCAGAGTTTATACTTGAATCAGTCATTTAATGGAGAATTTTGAAAGTATAAACTTTTCCAGTGGCAGATGTAACCAGAGATCCTAATGAAAATGTGACGGAGCCTACAAAAAATTTAGCCGTGATGAGTTTACCAAATTTCCGCGTTATTGACTGGACAGGTGGATGCTATTTGGTCTTAGTAAATACTGAAAAGAGCTTTTGGGATTATAGATATATCTATTAGAATCCGTAAAAAAAATCTTCTCCAGTCGACCTGTATATTAAACAATGAATAATAGTTGCTTAGGAAAAGTGCATGTTAAAGTGAACTATGTGAGTGATCTGAAGAAAAATATATATTTTGTCATGTAAATAAAAATAGATTAGGTCAGTTTCTTTTTGGTATTTAGTATGACACGGTGGTATTCGTTTCTGAGGTTGATCGTACTGAATGATAATTTCAAGTCAATGTTTATACACGTTCATTGGTCTTGAGTGAAACAAGTAGGCTTCTTGGCCCTGATTTTTTTCCCCGAGTAATTCTTAACAAATTTTAATCTCTTTAATATGCCCCCATCCGTGATGATGTAAGTAATGAGAATAATGTTCATAGCTATTGGGGTTTACTCATTAGGCCTACTAAAAATTAATTTAACCTTGCTAATCTAGATCATCTTCCTTAAAGCTGTACTGTAGCTCCGAAGTTCTGTCGGCCTCATGTTCAAGGGGAAACTTTTGGTCGTAAGTAATGGAGTGTACAGACTTTCGTGACGTGATTTATGTCGCTCACAAATGACTAGGTTTACGTATTTTAATTTGAAGTAAACATACCAAACTGAGCACATTCTTGACTCTTCACAACCCCCTCACCCCCACCAAGCGTTCACAACGTTTCAAAGCTCCACAAAGCTTCGTTCAGTTGTACCCAGAGGATGTTCAGATCGGATATCTTAAGCTACCTGCGTGTGCCAGTTTTATCGTGATTATCTGTGTTTGTATGACACTGGTGGAAATCAGGTCAAGGGTGAGGTCAATTCAGTGGTATAAGTTTTGTGGTGGCAGTATGAGTGGTGTGGTGTGTCGTGGGGAGTAATGAGGGGTGGGTGGGTGGAAGTGTTGCGTCAAGTGAGCAGCCTGGTCACGTGGTGTTGCCAAGTTCTGATCTCTCTCACCCTTCGGCATCATTGGTATCTCAACTTTTCTTTGTATTTCGTAGTGATCGCTCCAACTTGAGACTACAGCACCGTATTTATTTTTCTCACCATCCTCTCAATTTTATCTCCTTTCTCCTCGTTGATTCGTTCATATTCTTTCGTTGTTTCCCACTTCTGGCTCCCTGCGCCACAGCATCGTTCATGTAAGGGTTAGTAAGTGTTTCAATATGTATCCAGTCTCGGGGCCATGATGCACCAATGGTTAGTGACACTATATTAAGTCTTGGTGAATGTTTTGATCTCCATACCGTTCTAGGCCTTATACTGCATCGCCATTCTATATTGGAAGTGCAAGGCCGCTTAGTGGTATATGACTGGGCGAGTTGGAGGTGCTTGATTGAATGCCGTTAAATTGTTTTCGTTTTTCTGTTGACTGTTCCTGCTCTTGGCATTCTAATCAACAGTGTTCCTTCAAGCTTATACTTTGTTTGTGACCCTTTACTATTCCGTCATTGTATCACCATCATTTTCCTGTCGCTTTTGTTACTACATACGTCTCCACACATTTTGTTCCTTTGTATTGATAATTTTCACATCATGGTCCTGCTTGGTGTGAGGATTCTTGATTATTATTCCTTAATTTTATTTATTCTTTCACGTATTCTACTTCTCCGTGTTTATCTTCATTTTTTACGGTATTGCATCCTTGTGTTCATATATTTGTACCCTTGCTTTGCTAATAAGAATATAGATATATCTAATAAATACAGTAAAAGCCTGTCTGCTTTAATAAAAGAGTGCATGAACGATAAACTAATAATAGTTGCTTACCAAAAAACATTGCAGGTTGGATTACTGCATTTTATAGGAGTGTTCTGAAAAGGATATCATTAATTTTGTGGTGTAAATAAAAGTAGATTTGGTTAGGTACTTTTCGGTATTTATTATGACCCTTGTTGCATCTTTATTATCGTGTGGCTCTAGTATACGGTATTTATCGTCTATATAAGGTGTGTATAGAGAGCGCTATCATAATTTTTAATTGGTGTAGGACTTGCGTATGGTATACTAACTTTGTGACGCGCTTAAAGACTATAGTTGTTGAAGTGCAGTAAAAACATTATAGCAACAACAAGGTGTCATGACTCAATATCTCACATTATTTTTTATGACATTTCCAATCAAAAATTTTATATAAGCATGGCTCTGAATCTTAACGGTTGAGAACTATGAGCACCGTAACTATTTGAAATTACGCATGCGCAGGTTGTGGATAGACGCGGCGTGTGAGCATCAGTCCAGGGTTACTCATTTAAATGTTTCCACGATCTAAAATGTGTATTGAAGCTGGAGGCGGCTACTCTGAACGTTTATTGTAGACTAAACTATACATTTATTATTTATACCACTTATTCAGTTAAACGTCTTAGCTATATGTAAATCACTTCGAATACCGATACACATAGTCTGTTTGGGATTTAAAGAACATTTTTGGCTGGAAATGACATAAAAATAAACTCTTGGGGTATAGACGTAAAGCTCATGGCTAACTGTATATTTATGGTGACAGGTAGTGAGGTGATGATGAACAGTTGTCAAGTTATGGAAGGATATTTAAATCTTCCATTGTGCGGATTTGTTCCTCTTTTAATTGGTTGGATATGTCCGCTGTAAAGAGAAATGCGTTAAAGAGGATTTGCAAGGAAAATATATTGACACCGAAAGAAGTTTGGATATATGGGAGATGGTTGTATGAAGTGGAAGATGTAGTGAAATATTTTGGCAATGATTCAGTGAGTCTTTTAAAGGAAGCTTGCAGGTATATAAAGGAATAGTAGTGATTGCATGGAAGTTACTGTCAGATCCCTTACCTCTATGCTGGAACTGATGCTGTCAGTCTTCACTATCATTGATGCTGTCACTATCTCTGGTGTTGTCAGTCCTCACTATCTCTGGTGTTGTCAGTCCTCACTATCTCTGGTGTTGTCAGTCCACACTATATCTGGTGTTGTCAGTCCTCACTATCACTGGTGTTGTCAGTCCTCACTATCACTGGTGTTGTCAGTCCTCACTATCACTGGTGCTGTTATTCGTCCCCTGTTTATTGTTGTCACCTTCAATAGTTTAGTGTTCCTCACTATTATTGGTTGCTGCGTCAGGTGTGGGTGAATGTAATAGCAACCCTACTTTAAAATGTACTGGATTGACTTGAAAGATATATTATTGTTTTACTAGTGTTCTCCTATTTGTGTGGTTATGGGTATTAGTTTTTCGTCTAAGCTGTAGAACAAGATCATTAAATATATATAAATGGACAAGAAAGGGAAGTATTTAAATATATGAAAAAATGAACTAGTGGTTTTCAGTCATGGGTGAAGAACGTATCCATTATGTAGGGTAGAATTGACAGGTTTTCAGTACGGGAGTGAAGGACAATCCCAGTTAATTATTTTGTTATAAATAACTTAATCTACTTAGTCACAAAACCGTTCCCCCAATAATGGAGAAGTAATATGTGTGTGCGTTCCCTATTGGCCTGGCTGTTTTAAAGGTGGTGATTTTGGCACTCGAAGTAGACTAGACTTTGGGGTGGGGGGGTCAGTGTAATATCCTGTTTGTATTATTAACCCTTTGTGGACGATAGTTTAAGCTCACGGCCTCTAGGTGGGGTTAAGCTGGGTCAGATTAATTATTTATGTATAATTTTCTTGGTAACTTTTTTTTTTTTTACGGGAATTAGCCAACCCGGGCACAGGTCAAACGACCCACAACGGAGCCTGGGGGGCGAAAAAAAAGAACGGAAAGAAATTGAAAATATAGAAAAAAAAGGTTATACTGTATCAATCTACACCACGAAGATGCCGGAAAATCAGCTTTTTAAAGTGAGACAGATTGTAAGAGCATGGAAACACAGAAGAAGGCAAAGCATTCCACAGTTTGGCTGTGTGAGGAAAGAAGGAGGTACTATGATTATAAAAAGATTATCGCATGAACTTCACCTTAATTAATCTCAGCTCATGTAGTATTGATTTCATTGTTGATGTTTTAGTTTGTCTAATTAATTTAGTTTGAAAGCCTGGGCCCTAATGATCCCCAGCCTCGTTAAATATCTTGATCGGCTGCCCAAACTGGTGTTGTTAACCCAAAATGTTTATTAAAGTTAGTTAGGCCTTAACTGAACGACTTGATTTTCTTTGACTTGATACTTTCCATTATTGAAGTTACTTTCGATTGTGATTGCAAGTTTTTAATTAGTGAAGATTGTTTGGCATACTGTATTATATTTAGAATTGTTCATGGGTGGGAGAGAAATTTTATTTTTTTATTAAAATGTTTTTTGTAGTGATTGTGACAGTTTTTGTTTATGCTAATTCTATTTTGTAATTTTCAGTGTGTGAGGAGGAGTGTATAAGGAGAGCGGGCGTGTTGACCCGCCCTGGTGATACCTGAGCAGTGTGTAGGAGGCACCGCCCAGTGTCAAGTGTAGTGCAGTGTGTTGTGCTTGTCCATCTTACCTTGGCTCTCGTCAGTCATGTGGTGGGCGGCGTGACTGGTGGGCGGCAGGTGTCGCAGCCAGTGCCATGGGTGGCAGGTAGCACCGCGGCGCGGGTGTGTCGCGGGAGTGGGCGGCCGTAATGGCCCCCGCCCTTACTGAAGCGTCCGACCCGCAGACGTTCCACGTGGCTGCCCACCACCACCACTCGTCAGGGCGTCCCGGCGAGACTCCTGCTGGCCGCAGCAGTTCCCCGCCCACCGCCCATCTCCCGTTGCAGTATGGTGGACTGAAGGAGCCTCACGACTGTACTGACGCCCACCTGGCTGCAGCCCTTGCTAACGGCCCCCGCCGCGTCCCTCGCCTCCTGCCGCCCTCGCCCCCAGGCGCGGGTGGGTTGGCATGTGGGCGGGAGGGCTGTGACCCTCCCCCACGCCCCCACGCCGCCCACACTACCATGGACCCCCCGTCGGGCCTACCGCCCCTAACAGAAGAAGCCAACGACACCCCTCCTGATTCGTGCGAGGCTACGACCATGGGACAGGACACTGCGCCAGTTCACGATGTCCAGGACAACACGTTGCCCCACAAGTCGCCGCGCCCTCAGCCCCAGGATGGCGACCTCCTCGCCCTCATCGGCCGGGACTTCGTTAACATGAACGAGATTATTGATACGCTGACCCGCTTAGCAGGCAACCCAGAGGTGCTGGAGGCTGTGGATAGGGCTGCCCTCACACTCCCAGGCGAGGCCAGCCACGCCCCCCACCAGGCACTTGAGACACCCGCTCCAGTGCCCAAAGAAGAACGGGTGCGCCTGCTTGTGGAGGAACTTAGTCGTCGCCAGTGGCAGATAGAGCGGCGTCAGGCACGCCTCCAGCGACGCCTCCGTCGGGTGACTGCTCGTGGTCTAGGTGCCTCGGTGTCGGGTCAGTTGAGGGAGTTGCTGGACTACGCCCATGTTACCCTCGCCCAACAACGAGAGCAGACAACGCTCTCTGAGGAGGGACCCACACCGCCCACTCCTCCAGAAGTGGGCGTGGAGGCGCTAAGGGCGGATGCCATGCGTACCATGTCTACCTCGGCACTAGTGAACCTGGTGCGGCGAGTGGAAGCTTCGCAGGGTCTAGCCAGACTAGCTGCAGCGTCGCACCGCCCCGCCCGCAGTCAGCCTCCCACTCCAGCGCCCACCCTGCCCGAACATACACGGGCAGAAGTGGCGGCCGTGGCGGCGGAGGTGCACGCCGCATCACACGCCCATACACATCACGACTCCGACGCGACTGAGACGTCCTCGGGCGGAGAGTCCTGTGATGAGGCCGAGGGATATAACGACTCCCACACCAACTTCTCACCCGTGTAAGTACCACATTTTTTCTTCATATAATCAGCTTGACCTGTAGCGACATTGTCCACTAGCTTTGGAGTATACAGAGACGCCGCGACACCATGGCACTTGCCGGACAGTCATCTGTATGTGGCTTATATTAGAACGGCTATGGCTACAGAGTCGGGTCCGGCGCTGTATTTTTGCTTAAGTTTATGCTTGATAAACGGCTGATTTGGTCATAGTATGCACACAGTGAGCCACAGCTTGCGACATATAATGCAAATCTGAAGGGGGAGCAGGGAAAGAGGAATGTGAATTCACGAAAATCCTGTTTTAAATTCCCATTTGAAGGTTTTTGGCCTTGTCAGCATCGTTAGTTATGGAGGCTACCGTGCTAAGCTATTTAAGACAGCAAGTACGAACACTAATCCAACATTACCAATATTATTTAACGATCATCGGTTAGGTTTGGTTAGTGTCTTCAGGGTTTGTGCCTGCCTATAAGTGCAGCTGTTAACAAAAACGCAATCGTTCATAAGGAGATTTAGAATTTGACCAGTCAATTCACTTTCGTTTTTCCTGGCTCAATGCGCATGTGTACTAGAACCAATTAGGCCTATTGTGTACAAGAAATACATGTGCCCTGTCTAGCAAAAATGGAGACCCAGGCCTTTGTAGACACTTTAATCATTAATTTATATTTACTCTACGAGAATATAAATAGGGTGTAGAATGGCCAAGTTGATCCCGAGATATATCGTACGCAAATAGTTTAGGGAAATGTGGATCACCTGAAGAATTTCCACCCTTTTTCACCTGAAGATAACCAACCTTAAATAAGCTGGTGTGGAGATTCTGTTCAGGTGATCCGGAAATGTTTTCCTGCACAACTGTATTGCCATCAATGAAGGATTTAAATGCCAGTATCCTCTCTCAAGGAAGAGATTGTGGTTGGAAAAAAAAAAGAGGGTTTGGGTGGGAAGGGAAGGTCTAGTCATTTAAACCTGTGAACCTTCGCCTTCCTCAAGGTCAGGTGTACAGGGCTGCCAACCTTAGCGAGGCGTCACAGACGTTTGCATCCCACGCCAACCAAGCCAACCAACATTAACTTTACTCTGTGCGCTAATATATAAATTGTATCCTGATTATCCATTACATATTCACCCACATCTTTAGTTGCATTCAGTGTTTATAATTGCTACCGCTTTTTATATTAATTTGTTATATATACTGCGGTGAATGACCACCAGGGCGATCTAATGAATCAAGTATGTATCTCATTCCCAAGTGTAATTCAGTTCACTCGTAGATAAGATAGGAGATATAATGCGCTTAGGAGATATAATGCGCTCCGATAATTACGGCTAAAAGAGGTTTGTACGAGCGTTATAAGATTGTTTTTAATCGGTTAAAAGATCGCTCAGCTGGGAAAGTAAACAATGGAGGAATTATGAAATGTTGGCAAGATTGTGGTGGTGAAAGTTGATTATCGAGCGTTTCATAAATCTTATTTTGCATGGTGTTAGAGAACTAGTTAAGGTGTTAGATGCAAAGGGGGTGAATTAGGGTGTTGGAGATGAGTGGCGTTAGTTATAACAACATAAGAATGGAGGAAACTGCAGCTGACTAATTGACCCATACTGGGCAGTCCCGTTTATACCCAACCCCTATTGCTCATATAAGCACCTAACCTATGTTTGAAGCTATTCAGCGTATTCGAGTTAATGATGATATTTGGTAACTTGTTCCACTCATCCACTAGTCTGTTTCCAAACCAATGTTTACCAATTTCACGCCGAAATCTAAATTTGTCTAATTTAAAACCATTGTTACGAGTTCGCTCCTGGTTGGATAGTTTGAGTACCTTTGTAATGTCCCCTTTGTTTAACCCTGACTTCCATTTATACACCTCTATCATGTCGCCCCTCACTCTACGTCTCTCGAAGGAGTACAAATTAAGATGCTTTAACCTGTCTCTGTACTCAAGGTTCCTAATGCCCGGGATTAGTCTTGTCATTCTCCTCTGGATTCTTTCCAATGATTCTATATCCATTCTGTAATACGGTGACCAGAACTGAACTGCGTAATCCAGGTGAGGTCTCACAAGCGCTAGATATAATTTTAAGATGACCTCGCTAGTCTTGTAACTAACACTCCTTTGTATGAACCCAAGTACTTTATTGGCCTTGTTACGAGCAAAAACACATTGTTTACTTGGCTTAAGATTCCTACTTATCATTACTCCTAAATTTCTCTCGCAGTCGGATTCCACAATGGCATCGTGATGCAAAGGGGGTGAATTAGGGTGTTGGAGGTGAGTGGCGTTAGTTATGGTGTTAGACATTAGAGGGAAGTTAGCATGGGTCTTAACAAAGAAGGAAGATCTCGGTTGCAATCTTGTATTATTTGATATCCAGGAAATTTTGTTGTCGGTGTAAATACGTGCAATATACGTCAGCAAATTAGGATCAAACTTTCAACCTCAGATCGTGGGTGGTGTTGGGTGATACAATATGGCGAGGTGACCACAAGGCTCCAGGATCATTTGCTGCTACGTAAGAATTAAATTTATTCCACTTCCATATCGATCCGCGTTGCTTTTTTTTTCATATTGAACGGAAAATTTCGTACAGACAGGTAACACTTCATATTCATTTCCTCGCCATCACAAGTGTGCAACCAAACTCACCGCTGCTGCTAAAATTAGAATGCCGATATGAGATTTCAAGAGTGATCACAGGTGTGAGATCTGAAGCAGCAGACGAGGCGCGTTAGTGACCTTTTCCACCATCTCGAACTTTGTCCAAGAGATTTCTTAACTGGGGTGGGTTATAACGACAGCCTAGAAAAGACGAGATTCTCATTTGGTTCAAGGTTCACAATTTTTTTAGTAGTTTTTCGACTCTGCATTTGGTAAATTTCAATAAGTGAGAAAGGTCTCGATTGGAATAGCAGCCATCTATTTGTTCAGTGAGGTATTTTAAACCTTTGGTTTGGCATTACACTATGCATGTTAGTTCATATCCGCAAACTTGACAGAGTGAGATATTAAAAGAACATGGCATTGTTGGAGTTCATTTTGAACTGACTTTCTCTATTTTAGTTTTCTTCAACTTGAGTTATGTTATCTAATCATTAATACTGTTGACGTTGAAATGTGAAGCAGATACATCAAGGTAACAAGTGGTTAAGTAGTACTGCAGCCTCATACAGTAACGAGTGTTTGTTAACACTTTCCACGTAGCGCGCGCGTTACATCACCAGGGTAAGGCGTCTCTGCAGGGCTGCCAACCTATCAGGGGTGAGCTCACACAAACGCCGGGTGTGGCGGGTGTTGGAAGTGTTCATGTTGGAGGCACAAGAGTGACGTTTATGGCGGCCTTATATTGTCAACCTCTGATGCTTGGTGTCTCGTTATAACGTACTTGAGGGACTGGTCAGACCCCAAGCAGTCACATGACCACAGAATGCTTATTAACGTCATTTTGTTACCGTAACGAGGGGGTTGATTTGATTGATTGATTGTGGTAATTACATCACCTAGCGACGGGACTGCATTATCAAAACACACTGAATACGCCTGTACTGTAAACTACTGGGTAATGATCATATTTTTGACGTATTTAGTTCTTTCATTAAAGTTGGAAAACCCAAATATACTGTATTATGAAATCGGGTGACCGGATATACACATTACTCCCCTGTTTGTATGTATTTCTGTATTATAGCCAGTTGGTATTATTGTGTCTGTTGACTTGTATTACGTGGCATTATTTGGGTTACCGTGATGGGGTTTTTGTGTTGGCGACTTTTAACATGTGGTCGAGGTATTATATCTCCTTACAAGACGAGTGTCATTACAGCCTCATGTTCGTGCGGCTATGGTGTCGTTGGTTGTTGGGTGGACAGTATCATACCAGCTTACTGTAAACATGTTAAATTAATGGCGATCTTATTTTTTTTTGTATTATGTTTGGTGAAGGTGATGTAGAAAGGATGATGTCAGGACGCGTGTGTGTGTGTGTTTGTTTATATGAAGACACGAACTTACCTTTTTATTTCTCCCTTCATCTGGTTGTGGTATATAGAATTCATTGTGTTGACTTAAACCGAACATCACGTGGCTCTAGTTTGTTATTTTTTCTTAAAGTTTACATTGAAGTGTCTAACTTGTATATTCTTGTACAGTAAACACATTGCTTATTTATCCCCCCCCCCCGCTGAGGAAAGTTAATGCAAGTCCAGGCGTAGACATTGTTTGGAGAGGTTGTTTCAAAACTGTCAGCTTACAATTGTTAATACTATTGCCTCCAGACCTGCCAGAAGTTACGCCGGGAATAACAGTTATTAAAAGTGCCATGTCGCTGAGTGGAGAGAGACGTAACCGCTGGTGCTTAAGGGGAAATTGAGGCGAAAGTACGAGTTAAGGGTCTCAGTTACGTGTAGTTTTAAGGTGTAGAAATATTCAGTGCGAGTCCTCGTCCCGTGTGTGTGTGTGTTAAACATTGATGTCCTTTGGTCATTATAAGAGTAAAGCAAATACAATAAACATGAGTGTAACACAAAGTAAATTAATGGTAGTATCTTTTAACTTGTTCACATTATCAGTACTGTATTTAACTCACTAAACTGTAAACAAATAAACTATACACTGATTAATTCCCCCAAAAAAAAAAACTGTACGGGCGGGAGTTTAACCAAAGTATTTTTATTATTTCTGGGGGGTTATTTATTACGAGGTTCTCTTTCCTTTCCTGTTTATTTAACCTTTTGAAGTGACGGTATAAGTGGTCAGTTCTCGGCTCTTAACATTGTTTGTTTGACATAACCTCTTGACCGTGTGTGTGTGTGTGTGATATTAACGCGTAAATTAAGCCAAGTGACGAGAGTTGGATGCTTGTATTACAGTAGTGGTGATAAGATAAAGAGAAACCTAGCGGCGTCACCTTATCCCAACCGTTGTGTTCGTATGTTAAGGTCGACACACAAAACTGCCTCGCCTCTCTCACCTGTTGGATATAGGAAGGCC